TTTTTTTTTTTTCTTTTTTTTTTAGGGGTCTCACCTTGCTGATCTCGAAGCCGAAAACCTCCTCGAAGTAGGCGGGCTGGCTGATGAGCAGCAGGTAGAAGGTCCAGCTGCGGCAGAAATTGGCCACGATGATGGCGTAGACGGGCATGGAGGTGAAGAAGTGGCGCCAGGGCGTGGCCAGCTGCGGGCGGGGAGTGGCCACTGAGCGCCGGGCCACTGGCAGTCACCGCCCTCAGCCGGGCTCGGCCGCGCTTCCCAGCCCGGACCTCGTTTGTGGCCACGGTGACGTTTTAGTGGTCACAGGGATCCTTCATTGACCCCCCCGCCGCCATGAGACTTGGGCCCCTGTGACCCTCCCAGTGCTCCCAGTGACCCCCAGTGCTCCCAGTGACCCCCAGTGCTCATCCCAGTGCTCCCAGTGACCCCCAGTGCCCATCTCAGTGCTCATCCCAGTGCTCCCAGTGACCCCCAGTGCCCATCCCAGTGCTCCCAGTGCCCTCCCCAGTGCTCCCAGTGACGCCCAGTGCCCTCCCCAGTGCTCCCAGTGCCATTCCCAGTGCTCCCAGTGACCCCCAGTGCCTCCCAGTGCTCCTAGTGCCCATCCCAGTGCCCATCCCAGTGCTCCCAGTGCTCCAATGCCTTTCCCAGTGCTCCCAGCGCCCATCCCGCTGCCCCCAGTGCCCTTCCCAGTGACCCCCAGTGCCCCCAGCGCCCATCCCAGTGCTCCCATTGCTCCCAGTGCCCGTCCCACTGTTCCCAATGCCCTTCCCAGCACTCCCAGTGCCCGTCCCAGTGACCCCCAGTGCTCCCAGCGCCCATCCCAGTGCTCCCAATGCCCGTCCCAGTGCCCCCAGCGCCCGTCCCAGTGCCCCCAGCGCCCGTCCCAGTGCTCCCAGTGCTCCCAGCACCCGTCCCAGCGCTCCCAATGCCCATCCCAGTGCCCCCAGCGCCCGTCCCAGCGCTCCCAGTGCCCCCAGCGCCCGTCCCAGCGCTCCCAGTCTGACCAGCAGCGGGTTGCTGCCCACGCTCTCGCCGATGCTCTCCTCGATGTATTTGCGCTCCTCGGGGGAGATGCTCGGGTGCTGGGCCGGGCTCTCGTACGACACCAGCACCCAGAACAGGTACCAGAACACCCCGAAACTGCCTGGGGGGGCACGGGGGTCACGGGGAGGGGTC